TAAGGGAGGGATTTGGGTGGGAGCCTGAACCATTAAACAGTATTTGCTTTGTGGTGAAAAGTGGATCAGCACTTTGCCGTTGCTGACAGTCTCATTTTGAAACCAGCGATGAAGCAAGTTAAGGTGAATGATGTGTCACTTGTACAAAGTGGGTCTGATTCTCATCTCATTTGCTCTGGTGTAATTCAGGAGTAGCTCCCATAAAGCTAATCCAGTTATTATCATGGTATAAAACTGACATAAGAGGCGAATCAATCCCTTGGCTTCCTATATACTTTAGTCTATTTTATTGGTCATCTGTGTAATCTCTTAAACTGATGGAAAAGCTAATCTAAATTGATTTTCAAAGAAACACTGGTATAAATTGAGATTCAGGTCCCACATTTCAGTTTTCTAAAAATAAAGGGTGGGAGTACAAAACCTAGAGAGAATACAAATGTTTTCACAACACGAAAAGAGAAAAGCCTAGGAAAACAGTTGTTTCAGATGCAAACACTGTTTTGCATTGTCAGAAAGGCAAACACAATAGCATTGTGCTGGCACATGAGAACCAGAGAGAGACACTTGCTGGAAACTGAAAGTGAAATTGACCCAGTGTGATTTCACCCTCCAGGCTGAATAAAATGCAAAAAGTAAACAAACAGCATAAATGGTGAAAAGGAAAACCCATGGTTGAAATTATTTCAGTCTTAAAAATGTACGGTTTTGTTATTAACTAGAGCTGACTGGATAATGAAAAAACAGATTTGCAAATACATTGGTGAATTATACAGCCCTTTGCGGCGAGCTGGCTCTTTTCTCTGTATTTGACCCTTATCTTGCAAATGTTAATGTATTTGCTGAGTTTGGGACAGATTTATCAGACTTAACTGGAGGATGGATATCATACATGTATCTTTTAAAAGTTACATGTGTTTTAACCGCTTCATCACAGATCCTGCACTCCAGCCTGTCACTTTCCAGTGAGCTTCATTGTAATCACAATGAATCACAATGAAATTCTTTTGTGTGTGGTTAGGGCACGGGCCTGGGAGACCCAAATTCAAGTCCCTGTTCTACTTGATTCAGAGCAGAGTTTTTCATCACTATGAATCAGAGGAGGAAGTTGAGTATTCCACATCCCAGTCCCAGGCCCTAACCATGAAGCTGTAGTCAGTCTCTCTCTCTTTCTTTGGCCCAAAACTTTCCTGATGAAAGTTTCATGGCAACTGATCCATCCCTGCAAAACGTTTCAGCTTTGACGAATCAGCATTTTTTTAACCAAAATGTAAGTTCAGTGACAGTGTTCTGACTAGCTCTACTCAGGACACAATATGTCTATCTCATTTGGATTATCGTGGGATTTCACTTCACTCTTATGAATTTGATGGGTTCAGGCCTGGCCCCGTGCTCTAGCTATTCCCAGCTGCTGGAACTCGTCTTATTAGAATAGCCCTACTCTAACTTACGCCAACCGCAGACACATAGCAGCACTGTATAGCTACCAAGGTGACACAGAGCCACCCTTGCAACCCCTTAAGTTGTGCATTACATCACATTTGCAAGGTTTTCTTTGCACACATATACCTAGAAAGCTAATAAAAAACCCAAACCCATAGATTTTACAGCCAAAAGAGACCATTATGATCATCTAGATTGACCTGCTATATATAAAATTACTGCTTTCCAGGTGGTCAGAGCATTTCACCCCATGACTTCTGCATCAAGCCCATAACTTCTGGATTAGCTTTGAAAAGAGTTTAAATTTTGCAGACTTTGACAAAGAGTTTAAATTTTGCAGAAACTGCTGGAGCCACTAGAAAAATACCAGGACACTGTGCCACCACCTGCTGTAACTAATCCAAGTGCTGCAGACAGAAAGAATTGTTAGACACCATAACTCACCCACTCCCGGGGAGGAGGGACCAGAAACCCTGGCCCTGTTTCTCCTTTAGCAGATATTCCAGGTTAGAACTTTTTTCAAAATTTAGAGGTGCAACTAAAAAAATGTGATGAGAAAGAGCACTCATTTGTCTTTTCATTTCCTTTAATTTCATTATGCCTCATTCTGAAGAACCTCTGGTACAGTATGGTTTGTAATATAGTTTTGATGTTTTGATTATAGTTGTTTAGCTTTACACACACACACACACACACACTCTGAATTATAGTTATGCTGTAAAGATGCTTTTGCTGCAAGCCTTTGAAGGTCACCTTTCACCATATATGGATTGAAATAAAATAAGAAAAAATAACTCTAGTAGTTTTAGGAACCCACTGGGTTCTCCCATCCCTAAGTTTTAGGAACCCTCTGGATTGTCTCATGCTTGGTAGGAAGCAAAACTTCACCAATGTTGCTCATCCTAGTAGTCTGAAAATTCATAAGCTTCCCACCTGCAATAGTTGGCAAAATGTATTAGAACATGTTTTTAATTGCTGTTGACTTTTCCAGGCTCACGGCTGTTAAAATGAGGCTCAGACACTAACATTGCTGAAGCCCAGTGTGAGAGGCTATAAATTGGTTCCCAGTCTGGTTCAGAATCCTGCTAACAGGCCAAGGACAAGTTATAATGTTTATTCCTAATAACATCCCTGCTTGGTCCTTTAAAGTGAATATGAGAGCACTGAAAACTGTTCCCATTCTGAATGAAACTGAGAGGGGCTCAAGCCATGAAGTTGGGAATTGAATCCAAACTTCCATAAATGTCGGGGAAGGAGGGGGGTGGGGATCCAGGGCTTTGGTTCAGCCCATCATGATGCTAAGGGCCACATGCAAAGTGTAGAACAGAACCTCCACAGAAGGTAAGAGTGTTCACATTCCTGGTTTTGTTTCAGGTTTATCACTAGCATTAAACCTGTCCCTTTTGTCAGTACAATGGAGATGTACTTTGGATTGTGTACTGTTGGAGAGAGGCACTAATTATATTATATCTCACTTCAACAGCATCTTTGGGAATCAAGTCTTTTGGCTGTGGATGATGATGAAGTAAAGGAAATTACAGGGCATTTAATGTAACCAGGAGTCAAGCCCAGAGGGATGGTCCCCACCTTGGAACAAGGGTGGAGTACATTTTTGCCTACCCAGCAGCACGCCCTCAAAAGCCCAAAACTATCTGGGACAAGGTTAAGTCAGTTCACAGTCTGCCAATTGCATTGACTTTAATGTCTCCCCTGCTCAGGGAATGTCAATACTGCTTTCCTGAACTCCGCCTGTTATATCTAGAGGAAAGGGGGTTAGCATTGTCTTCCACCGCTCGCCCCAGGAAACATGATATCACACTTGAACAAAAGCGGGAAAGCTGACAGATCTATTGAGATGGGTGTGACTACAATACACACCTAACTGGTCAAGTCCTGTGGAAAGGGCTGTGACTGGCAGCTCTTCAATGCCGAACTCAAACGAGCACACTGTCTATGTTTATTGCTAATCTGTGAAGCTTGCTTTTGTTTCTCACACATACATATGACTTCATGGATTTTACTTGCTTCCTGTAGCAATCAGGTATACAGGATGAGCTAGCTTTAAGTAAGCGAGACAGGGGAGATTTGACTCTGAGAAAGGGGTGTAGTGTTGTCCCATTCAGTTCAAGTTAACAAAGCTCTCTTTTTTATCTTCTGAATGTAACACTCAGTGCATAGCCTATCTGCCTCTAAAGTGAAAAGTCAGTACTGATCTGAGAGTTAAATAGGATGCATTGCTATACATCTACAACAAGCAAGCAACCCACACCACAAAAGAGGAATACACACTATACAACCTAATGCAGCAATAATTATATATAAATATACACACACTCACCACATTTTATGTAAACTTTTTGGCCTGCATATAGCCACAGACCTTTCCAGATACTAAAAAAACCCTCAAAACCCCAAACCTTTTTGTTGACCATTCATCATACTTCTTAACATTTTTGTGACCCATAAAGATCAAGAGATTGTAGAACAAGTTATACTGCAGTGAAAAATTCTGTTTTCTTTTGTTACTACGGTCTGTCTCTTACTATACAGTCTGCAGCTATGTAGCAGATTACATTTTATCTAGAGATGGCCTGGAGCCAGAAAAATTAGATCTGAAGCTACACTTTCAGGGATGAATAAAAATCTGGGGTGCTGGTTGGAGGCCCATCTCTAGTTTATCAGGTTTATGCTTTGTATCTTACACTGAGGAGATTGCCTAGAAACAGGTCAGATGGAGACACTAGTGGTGTGAGCATATACGTCAATGCTGAGAGAGAACCACATGGAAAGAAGATAATACTCAGAACAATGAGTATTTGAGTAAAGCATCTCTGACCCTTAAGGCTCTTAATGCTATGAAATAAACTTTGCATTAATAAAATCATAAATATACATTTGCCAGTTATGGGAAATCCGTACCTTAGAATTAGTACTATTTAGACAAGCAAATGATGTCTGGTAATAATATTGCTGATTCAGACTTGTTTTTAAACAGTATTTGCAATGAACCAATCCGTTGTATTTAATACATATTATTCAAGCTTCAGTGTCCAATAATTAGTGTCCAACTCAGCAGCTGAAAGAGACTAGCTAAAAATAAATACTAGATAGAACACATATCAGATTTTTATCGGTTAGCTTGTGTTTCACCTCTGTCTTTGTGAGCTGGACAGTAAGAGTCAACTTTTACAACACATTTTACAAAAAAACATGTGGTGATCATTTCCAAACAACTGGCTCAGAGAAAAAGTTAACTGGCTCAGCAGAGAAATCCACACTGTAGCGTTTGTAAGTGTGAACAAACAGCAGCTAGATTAAAAAGGATTTAGCTACAGATCCCAAATGCATTCAGCAAGCCTCTGACAAAGAATCACCCAACGGGAGAGATCCTTACTTATGCAAATAATCCCACTGAAGTCAATGTGAGAATTATGCTAGTAGGGATACCTCAGCGGAGTTTGGATTTTAGGATCAGACCCTTTTATCTGTACACTGCATGAGAAACAGTAAAGCCACGGCACCTCGACAATGCTAGCTCAGTAACTAACGCAAAGTCTTACCTGAAATCATCAGGCTGAATCCACAGAGAATTAAATGTGCTAAAGAGTCCATGCTTTCCAAAATACCTCCATCCAGTTTCCACAGCAGCTCATGGGGTTAGGATTATCCTTTCAATGGGGTAGACCTTGGTTACTCTTCCCTTGCATGGTACGAGGACTCTTGTTTACAAGTCAGAGGCAAGAAATTGCAGTGCTGGAGTGGGCTATAACAGTCTCATTGCTGTCTGAGTACAGGGAGTTTAAGTTCCTTTTTCCTGTTTCCTTTGTAGATTAGGATGGGAAAGGCAGGATCTTAAAGGCATTTTGTATCAACAGGACCATGAGGCACTGCAAACCCTGTCCATCTAGCAATACATCATAACACTTATCTGGGGCTGCTGGAGAGGCAGGGGATTGCTCTCAGAGAACCGGCAACAGGTCATGGTCAGCAATGTCAGGAACAATAGTGGCATCCTCCAATAGGCGGAATAGTGCAAATAACAAGCTCTCCATCTATGTACAGCATGTGGAAATTGTCATCCCATCCTCTGCTCAAACTACAGGTCTGCTAATTGCTCCAGAGGTCACTTTACGCTTCAGCACTTCAGTGAAGGGCTTTCAGGAGGCAATAATCTTTTCACTTATTTATTTAATCCACTCAGAAGGTGCTTACTGCAAGGCATCTACAATACAAACATTAAGGAGAACCCTAACAAAACAACATGTCAAATCCGATAAAGACCGAAGCCTAGAGCTCTCCAGCAAACCACTTCATGTATTTTACTGGAAATTATTATTTTTTCATTCCAAGACTGGAAACAGGCTCAGAAATGTGATGTAATAATAAATCACAACAAGATTTGTTTTGACTTCAGTGGAACCTAAATGCCACAGCACTCGAGGGGCCCCGGAGCAAAGTTAACAGCACAAAAATAAACAAGATAAAAACCTAGAAAGTAAAACCACATGAATAGAGGAAAATTAATCATACAAGTGGAGAGGTAGCACTCAGACAAATCAATATAATTGCAAATAAAGGGCAATCCTATTTACAACCACTTGACTAAAAATAAACCCAGACTATTGTATTAGAAGACACTGTAGTCTTGCTAAGATGCCAACACCCAGAATGACACTTCAAGGAGAACAGAGAAATCAGTTCTCAGTCTCCTCTGGAAAGTGAGTTACGGGGCTGACTGTCTGGCTATGGTGAAAGAATGACAGGAGACATTAAGTTTAATCTGGCCACAACTTTATTATTAGATAGATGTCTGGGACTAACCTGGCGGATAAAATGTGCAGTGCAGGTGCAAAATTTATGTCCCTCCAGCAGATCCACTGCCGGGACCCTCCAATTCCAGTCAATTTTTGGGGGGAGAGGTGGGCTTTCACAGCTGCCCCCCCGCCATTTATCCAGGTCCCTCCAGCAATTTTCTTGCCGGGACCTTTCCGACCACGCCCCCTGGTAGGAGGGGTTAAGGTGGACTATAATGATGGTGGGGTTGGCTCCTTGCTATACCAATCATAGGAGTCCCCAACTCGCTCAGTTACCAAGCACCTCTCCTTAATTCCTTTTCCAAGCCATTTTTCTGTTCTTTTGTGCCTTAATTTATGGAGTACCTGCACGGAACATCCGCCACAAGGAGGCACCAACCATTAGCTTGGCTGCCTCCTCCCCACACCCAGCCGGGTTCCCAGACATCTCCCAATGCCCTCTTTTATATCAGCCAAAAATATGGCAGCACCTGAGTCTGACAGGTGCATGCCATCCTCCTGAAATAACTCCGGTGCCCCATAGAATATGCTAGGATGTGAAGTTACTGTCCTCCCCAAGGGCAACAAGAATTTGGCAACTTCCCAGTTCACATACTTCCTGGTTTTGTCCACCCTAGCGGGGTTCATGGCTCCATGCCAGACCCTGCGCTGAAGCATATCCGACCACACAATGTTAACGCCCGGAAAAATTGCCAGGATCTCCATCAGGTCCCTCCTAGTTCGAAGCATTAACTCCACCCCTTTAAGTGTTCCCAGATCATTTTCTCCCAGGTGTATCACCAATATATCCGGTGGCCGCTGCCGGGCCCTCACATCATACAACAGCGGTATCAGTTGATCCCATAACATGCCCCTCCGTGCGTGCCAACTGAGTAATGCTTCACCACCGAATCCCAGCTGGGAGCCCTCGGGCAACCTGGATGCGTGCCTATGCACCCAAAACACAATACTGTGCCCACAGATCCACACCCTCGTGTGCGTAGCCGGCTGTCCCATATCTGAAATGAGAACACAACCAATTAACGTTGATTTTCCACTTGTGGTCTCACATACGTTCGGTATGCATTAGACTGCCAGCGCCCGATTGCCTGAATAGCCTCTGCTTCCATACCTATCTGCGCTGCTGCCGTAGCCGCCCCTATTCTGAATGAGTGGGAACCAAATTCACGGGCTGGCAGCCCCAACCGCGTTAGCCCCCATCTCAACATGGTAATCAATTGATATGCCATGAGGGGACTCCAGTCTCCATGTACAAAAAGGGGGGCTTCTCCCTTCCACCATATTGCCATGTAGGCCCTCAACGCCCGAACGGGGCAGACCCCAGGCTTGCCACCCTCCCATAGGTTAACGAATGCACCCTGGCCGACTTGATCAGTCTTTGACCTTCGCAAGTGGAATATCACTGCATGCTTGTGGCCGCTTTTGAAATTCCAAAGCCTTTCCCGAAGAATCCCTGATGGACCCAGGCACTAGCTCACTGATCCTGAAAGCACCAAAAAATGCTGTCAAGAATCCTGCCCTGAATAGGGACACCTCCTGTGCACTATGACACATGACACCGAGGATGTGAAGGAGGTCCCTGAGCGCGGAAACCCTGATGGGATGACGGGAATCCTCCCTGGGTCCACCGCTACATGACCATCCCGCCAAAAAACGTCCAACTCCGCACGGATCTAGGTAGCCATTGAGCCTACTGACAAACGTAATGGCCGAAAGGCTATTGGAGATTGTGAAGGACGCCAGTGGATGGGTTGCCAATGACAGCATTTACCGCAGCACCTGTTCCTCTGTAATGGGCCACATTGCCAACTGGCCTTCCTGCTCCTGAACTTGTATGAATTCATGAAAACTTTTCTCATAGCTGTGCCACATGCGTGGTGCCACTGATCTCTGGACCACACTGACTACGCCAAGGTTCCCTACCATGAACAGAATTTGTCTGGGTTCGTGGATGGCGATCCCTGACCTGTGTGTCTACCGTTGCTCCTGAAATCACCTGAGATCTGCATGACCTGTTCCGCTTTGTACAGCCTGTAGTGCTGTGGAAACAACCTCATACGCAATACATTTAATTAATCGTATCAGCTCCGTGCTAACCGGCCCCCCATCAGACGCCGCTAGCTCAGTTGTGTGAGTGAGAGCTGCACCCAGAACCCCCACTTCCCCAAGCCTGATAGGCTGTCTGTGACAATCCAATGCACTCGCACACTGTAGTCTTGCCAAGATGCCAACACCCAGAATGACACTTCAAGGAGAACAGAGAAATCAGTTCTCAGTCTCCTCTGGGAAGTTAGTTATGGGGCTGATTCTGCTTCCATCTGAAGACATTAGGAAAATTCCCATTGATTTCAATGGGAGAAGGATTGGGTCCCAGGATGTGCTCTGCAAAAGGTTCCCAGATGTCTAGCAATGTAGGCAGAATTTGCGCACATCACAGGTTTAGCTTGCAGCGGGCTGGCTAAGCAGTTGTTCCCCTAGAATCATTTACGTTCCCCCATCAAACCAATAAATACAGACCTAGGTGCAACTCCCTGTGTGCAGCGACCCAGAACGAGGCTTGTGTGCCATGAAAGTCCATCTTTGAGGGTCCTTCAGTGCTGCATGGGCACAGAGGTACATTGCATCATTCCCTTTACTCACAGACCTGAAGTGCATCCCTTTTGTTCACACACAGACTCCAATTGTTTGTCAGACTTTGCGGAAGTACCAAGTAGCCAGCAAACACTCCCCAATCTTTGAATTCCTGGTTTCAATATCCTCAGTATAAGGAAGTTATTTGTTTAATTATTTATTTTCTTTTGATTTAGAATAATAAAAAGTGCACAGGCCAGGCTCTGAGCACCTGCCGATTATTTAATATTACAAAATGCAATAGAATCAGCTCACTTCCTTCACCGACCGGTAGTTCGTAAGCTAATACTAACAGCCCCTTGCACTGGCTTATACCTCAGTCCCCAAACCCCTTATTCAGCTGATTATGTTTGGCCCACGCTGCATTAAAATGCATTCTGCTCTCTCAGGATAAAGTTCCTTATTAAAGAGGAAAAAATCAAAGATGGGCTCGCACCAAAACCCAAACCCACCAAACTCTGTGAATGTTTGAAGTCCGAATCCAGATCCACTATTTACGAAAGGCCTTTCTGTTTATAATTAGCTGATCCAAAATCCCAACTCTAAACACCCTCGAACTCTAGGGTTTTTGAAGTCTGGCTGCAAGTCAAAATGTTGTGCATTGAACTCATCACTAGCAGGAACTCTGCCTAATTTATTGTCTCACTGTTTCCTTGTATTCCCCTGTCTGTCATCTGTTATCTGTTGGATCATACTTACATTGTAAACTCTTTGGGGCATGGACCATGTTTTGTTCTTTGTATGTACAGCATCTAGCACGGTGGAGTCATGGTCCATAACTATGGCTACAAGGAGATATGGTAATGATATAAAAATAATAATATATGGAGATTTACCTATCTCATAGAGCTGGAAGGGACCCTAAAAAGTCGTTGAGTCCAGCCCCCCGCCTTCACTAGCAGGACCAAGTACTGATTTTGCCCCAGATCCCTAAGTGGCCCCCTCAAGGATTGAACTCACAACCCTGGGTTTAGCAGGCCAATGCTCATCAATTTGCTCAGTGTTTTAACCCATGTCCTGACTCCTGACTGAAGTTACCCTTGGTCTGTAGCTTATTTCAAGGTAAGATAACCAAATCTCATTCTTCAGGGCATAAACTGATCACTGGAGAGATCAGGAAGGAATTCCATCCTCTCCCCATTTGTAAGGCACTTAGTAGATATAAAATACTACATAAGGGCTAAGTATGATGATCATGATTATAATACAGCATGCATAATTGGATAGGTCTATTATGAGGGTAATTCACTTTCCTCTGAAGCATTAGGTAATGCCCACTGATCATTCTGTCACTGAAATGTAACTATCTCTGGGGTGAAGCATGTCAATTACTTAACAGCATACAGCAACACTATGCGGTAGTTTAGAACAGCAAGTGAAGAATATTGCATCCAGCAGAAAC